CCCCCAAAAGCCTTACATGTTCCTTATTGTGCAATAACATTTTTCTGCTGAAATGCTACTGAATATTTATGTGGATTGTGGGTATGGGTTCCCCCGTAGGGATGAAAACCCCAAAAAAGACGAAGATAAATTTCTTTTATCCCCGCAGGTGGGGATAGAGACGAAGATAGGCATGGGAGGCCGTCACAGGGACTAGGATGGGAGAACAATACCAGCCAGGACGATCCCCATTGCCAGCTTGACCCACAAGACTGCAAACAATGGGAATGACAACTATGGTGAGACCTTCTCTTTGGCGCACTGCCCAAGATGGTGTGCATCTATGCGGGTGTGATGCTGCCCTTCCATAAACAGCGGCCAGGATGCAATAGCATGCATTCTTTGTCTAGGAGTAGCGTTTTCAATTGTTCGGTGACATTGCTGGTGAATTATGGTTCATGATCATCTCATTTGTAATGGGATTGTGGATGAAGATACTAATGTGAGGCACATTCAATATGGACAACCTTAGGTTTTCTTTTCTTTTCTTATTAAGGGCCTCTTTGATTCAAAGGATTTCTATAGGATTTTTGAAGGACTACAATCCTTAGGAAACTTTCCTGCGTTGATCGTTTGATTCACAGGATTGAATCCCATAGAATTTTTTTTCCTATGGATTCGTTTGTACTACATTTCATAGGAATTCTAGCATCCACTCCGACCTCTTGGAAGAAATCCTTTTGTTTTTTCCTGTGCTACAATCAAACAAATTCAAATCCTGTAGAAATTCAGGGCCTCTTTGATTTACAGGATTTTGAAAATGTATGAATAGGAAAAGTATAGGATTGCGGTGGCATGTCAACTTGAATCCTATAGGATTAGCAAAGAGTGTTTGATGCCACATGAAAAACAAAGGAATTGTAAAAAGAGGTTGGAGTGGATGTTAGATTTCCTATGAAATGTAGTATAAAAGATTCCATAGGATAAATTCCTATGCGATCCAATCCTATGAATCAAAGGGCCGACATAGGAAAAATTCCTAAGGATTTCAATCCTCCAAAAATCCTAAATAATTCCTTTGAATCAAAGGAGCCCTCAATAGGCATGTCATTTCAATCCTACGTTTTTTCTATTCCTGTGTTTTTGCAATCCTGCGAATCAAAGAGGCCCTAAGCTGATTTGTTGGTATTATCAAATAACATAGTACTCTCACAACCTCAAAATACAAGACGTTTTTTAAACAATCTCATAGAGTAATTAATAGAGTAACATATATGAACGTGCGTGCCCTGGGATATACTACTCATTTTTAAAGAAAAAAACACGGAATATTTTTGGAGTAGATTGATTTTTTTCATGGTAATACATGTCTCATTTATATCATAAAGATTAAAGTACAAGTCACGTAAGGACCGACATGACAAAACTGAAAAGATAGCAGAACATCTTTGAGCTTGACACCAACGCCTATCACATGCCTCCGGCACCACGACAGTAGCCACCGAAGAAAAGAATGATGGATCACCTCATCACCCGAGCTCGATGCGGCTCCATCGCTGATATGCAGCTTTGCGGACCTTCAAAGTGGCTCACCAAAAGTGAAGCCCTTACCGTTGAACGAATCAGACCGAGTCAACACCCCGGACACGCCATCAAACTCCAGATCTGGCACCCCACCGCGACTAAGACGTCGCAGAAGGAAACCATACCTGCCATCCACGAACCACAAACCCAGCACATGTTCCGTCTTCCAGATGTCGTCGATGCAGACCACAATCTGCATCCGCTCCTGGACTACCTCCCAAGCTCGGCGCCGACGCCGGAGCAAACGTCGTCGCAACGGCGAAGCCCGAGGACACAGGTCCACCACGAGGATGTCGTCACCGCCACGCCATCCTTGCTTGAACAGACTGGTTTCCAAATCCATCCTCAATCGTAGAACTGACGGCCTTGTTAAGAAAGGATCCGAAGAATCTTTATTCAGCGCTATTATCGTCACCGCCAAACAAAGATGATGAACAACCTAAAAATCTAAACTACAAGGAAGTTAAAAATGATCCACACGTGTGGATCCGACGACCCTTCTCACCACCGACGATCGAGGTCACCGGCGGAGGAGAGTCGTCGAAGGACGGCGCTGGAAGATTGGGTCTCCTGGCGGCGGCTAGGGTTCCAGCCGCCAGGGACAGGAGGAGTTTACCGGGACTGGAGTAGATTGATTGATATAGTTATTTTTGCACAACGAGTCGGAGCGTGAGTACATAAAAGTACACATACCGGCTGTTACAATAATGCGAGCCCGAGAGGGCAAATCTGCAAAAGATGGCAGCCCATGAGAATCCCACATTTTTAGTCAAGATTCTCGCACTAATTTAACCCGTGCGTACGGCTTAATGCCATCGCCACTGCCCCCATCCATCTCCTTCGCTCACTCGCACTGTCACACACACGACACACTCCACTGCCCTCGCTCCTCCCCCTCCCCCTCCCGCACGCTAGCTGGAGGCGTTCCCAGCCTTTATAACGCGGCGAGGCCGCACTGCGGATCCAAGCACGCCTCGCCTCCTCGATCCCCTCGCCCCCTCCTCGAGATCCGCTCGGACCGCCGCGCCCCAGCTCCCCGGCCGGCGAGGTACGAACCCGCCGCCTCCGCATTGCCCGCCTCCCCCTCTCTTCCTCTCCCCGTCCGCCGGAGCGGATCTAGCTCCAGCTCGTCCGTTCGGCCGATTGGCCAGTGGTTTAGCTCGCTGCTTTGCTATGGCGCCCGCTATTGTCTTAGACTGCGTCTGTACGTGTACCCTGCTCGGAGCCAGCTCCGCCCACAGATCCGATTGCGATTTGGGTGCAGGAATGGGGATTTGCCAGATTTTCCCTTCATTAATGCACGCGCCTTGTAGTTCTGTTTGCGTGCTTGCCGATAGAAGGATAGTATTTGCTTGCCTTTTTCATGGCTTTCCTCTTGGGAAGCGTTGGCTTGGTAGTAGGAAACAAGATACGGAAACAACGCTTTTCTGGGACTTATTATTGAGTTTTATAATGCTCTGCGGATCCGGCGCTTCCTTCTTCAGATCTGGTGGTTTGGTTGGTCCAGCAGTATAAATTTCTACTGCTCTGGGTTCTAACGATGTAGTTTAATTTGCTCTAGGTGCGCGCGGTGTGTGGCAGAAAGCAGCAAAGCTCTGCAACCTCTGATATAAACAAGCCGCGTGCATCGGGGGTGGTCCTGTATATGTGCTAGTGGGACTGATGGCATTTGGCCGAGGCGCGAAGATGGACGGCAGGCGGCCCTCGTCGCCGTCCTCGTCGATGTGCACGACGACCACCGTCGTCGTGTTTGTGGCGCTCTGCCTGGTGGGCGCCTGGATGATGACATCCACCACCGTCTTCCCGGTAGAGCCTACTTCAAACAAGAAGTCGGAGCCGATAGAGGTATCAACATCGAATAAGAAGACGGAGGTCAAGGATCAGCGCGCAGAAGTTGGCTTTGGTGAAACCGACGAGGCGGCGAAATCCGGCAGTGTTAGCTCGGAGAAATTCGAGGACACTGACAATAATGACAATGTTCCAGATGAGTCGCATAGTAACAGGGATGCTCCTGAGGAAGAGAAGTTCCCTGAGAACACAATGGAGAAGCCTGTGGAGATGGCTGAAGAAAAGGAACCACCAAAAGAGAAGGAAGACAGTAAGGATTCCTTTGATGATGCAAATGGAAAATCAGAAGGACAGAGTGCTAAGGAGGGTGGGGAGACTGGGCAATCTGGCGATGAGGAGGAGAAGAGCACAACTGACAATGATGTTGAAAAATCCGATGGGGAGAAGAAGGAAGATCAAGAAGGAAAGTCTGAGGACGATGCAACTGAACAGCCTCAAATCGAGGAGAAAGTGGAAGAAAGTGGAGAGAAGGAACCGGCTGCAAAAGCTAATGAGGTATTTCCTGATGGAGCTCAGTCTGAACTTCTCAAGGAGTCGAATACCGAGAATGGGTCATTCCCTACACAGGCTGCAGAGTCAAAGAATGAGAAGGAAGCTCAAGCAGCATCGAAATCTTCAGGTGATGAAATCACCTATAGCTGGAAATTATGTAATAGCAGTGCCGTGACAGATTACATACCTTGCCTTGACAATGAGAAGGCTATCAAGAAACTTCATTCTACCAAGCATTATGAACACCGTGAGAGGCATTGCCCTGCGGAGCCTCCGACTTGCCTTGTTCCACTTCCGGAAGGATATAAGCGCCCCATCGAGTGGCCCAAGAGCAGGGACAAGGTACTTCTGTCTTTTCATGATGTTTCCACAACACTGAGTAATCTTCGGTTGATCAACTTCTCCTTTTGCTTATTAGAAATGCACTATGTTTGCAGGTATGGTACAGCAACGTCCCTCACACCAAGCTTGCAGAGTACAAGGGCCATCAGAACTGGGTTAAAGTTTCTGGTGATCATCTTCTGTTTCCTGGGGGCGGGACTCAGTTCAAGAATGGCGCACTCCACTACATCGATACTATTCAGCAGGTTTATTACCATTGCCCCAATTATGACTCATACTTCCACACACGAACAATTGATTAATACTATTACACATATCTAAGTCTCGAGGTAACTGTTGCCATCACTCCCTTGAAGGAAATTGCACATGTTCCAGGACTGTGGATGATGAAATTTGCATGTTCTTTCTTTGAAACCTGTATTATCACCTATTATGTTTGTCAAAAATCTATGCGTTTACATGCTTATCAAACTACCGTGTGCAGGCTCTACCTGATATTGCATGGGGTAAACGAAGCCGTGTGATTCTAGATGTTGGTTGTGGAGTTGCTAGCTTTGGTGGCTACATGTTTGACAGAGATGTGCTTACCATGTCATTTGCTCCAAAAGACGAGCATGAAGCTCAAGTACAGTTTGCGCTCGAGAGGGGAATTCCAGCAATATCAGCTGTAATGGGCACCAAGAGACTTCCATATCCTAGCAGGGTTTTTGATGTCATTCACTGTGCTCGCTGCAGGGTCCCTTGGCACATTGAAGGTTTGTCTTGTCGGTGGCATGTTTTAATTTTTGATTTCTCCTGCTAACTAGTAACTACTATGTACTGTATAGTATGAATACAGTTTATGACAACTGGTTACTTTCAGGTGGCAAGCTTTTGCTGGAATTGAACCGACTATTACGTCCTGGTGGTTACTTCGTCTGGTCTGCCACTCCTGTTTACCAAAAGCTCCCTGAAGATGTTGAAATTTGGAATGGTATTGTACCAAACTCCTCTTTCAATATCACTCGTACCGTTATACAGAACGTTGCTGCAATATCAATGAACCATGTCAAAACCGTTATTTTCCTCTGTTTCTTTAGAACAGTTCAAATAGCTGTTCACTTGCTTTGGTGATCAGAAATAAATGTTGCTGCCTCTGAATGGCCACACCTGATTTTCTATCGAACACTGCACCACAACCCACATATAGAGAAGCACACGTTGCTTGTAACAGAAGTTCAATTGTTATAAACTCTCTTTAATTATTCTTTTTCACAACGGCTGATAGCACAAGTTGTGCTTATTATCACAAATACTATGAACTATTGGTTAGCACTAGATGTGCCCAACTTCATGAATAGACTAGACCTGTTTAATAAAATAGTAAAATCATGCCACAAACCAACTGCAAAGTTTTTTCATCTATCATCCAGGTGAACCAGATCTAACACTCAGTGGCTTACTTTTTTCAGCCATGTCTTCTCTGACAAAGTCCATGTGCTGGAAAATGGTTAAGAAAACAAAGGATACATTAAATCAAGTTGGTATGGCCATATATCAGAAGCCAATGGACAACAATTGCTACGAGAAAAGATCTGAAGACAGCCCACCGCTATGCAAGGAAACGGACGATGCAGATGCTGCATGGTATGGTTAAGGCTCTTTTGCTACCTTAATATTTAAATATCTGAACTACTCTGCCTTTTCTTAAACAATCTTGTGTTATGCAGGAATGTACCTTTACAAGCGTGCATACCCAAATTGCCGATTGGTCCATCAGTAAGAGGATCAAAATGGCCAGAGATGTGGCCTCAAAGGCTTGAGAAGACTCCCTTCTGGATTGATGGTTCTCGTGTTGGAGTTTATGGAAAACCAGCGAATGAAGACTTCGAGGCAGACTATGCGCACTGGAAACGTGTTGTAAGTAAGTCGTATGTGAATGGCATGGGGATTGACTGGTCTAAAGTGAGAAATGTCATGGACATGAGAGCCGTATATGGAGGGTAAGTGAATGGCTTGCTTTAGATCTCTCGATGATGCATTTTTTATTTTGAATCCCACTCATTTCACAAAATGTCTCATTCAAGAACACTCATAATGAGAATGTATTCACACCTCCCTTTAGTTATTTCTCTTGGCTAATGTTGTACATTTGTTGCTTTGCAGTTTTGCTGCAGCACTGAGGGACCAAAAAGTCTGGGTTATGAATATCGTGCCAATCGATTCACCTGACACACTGCCAATTGTTTATGAGCGTGGCTTGTTTGGAATGTATCATGACTGGTGCGAATCTTTCAGCACTTACCCGAGAACATATGATCTCCTACATGCAGACCATCTGTTCTCAAAGCTCAAAAAGAGGTCTGTAATTTATTGTCTCGGTTGCAGTTTCTTCATACTTGCTAGTAGTTTTGATTTGAACAATGAGTGAGAAGGATTTATTTGCTTGACGTTAGACTTGGATATTTTACTTTTACCGACTGATTATTAGTAGTATATTCTTCTAGAAATACATGTGTAATTGGAGCAGTTTACTGAAGCCAAACTGACGGTTGTAAATAGTTCAGCTAAAAATAGGGCATATCTGAATCCTGTAAAGAATTTTCGCTATGATGTCCTTCCGACTGCAGAGATGACCCTAAAACAAAACATTTTCTTGAATTATTCCTGCAGTGCATCCAAACACCACTCTGTGCAATTTCTGCATTTTCAATTCCTTTAGAAATCCACGGCACATGCCACTCAATTCATGCATCCGAATGGGTCTTGAGTATATGTGCCGACAGCATGTTGCGTGCTATACCGGTTGCATAACTGAATTGTCTCAAGCAATTGCTTTGTTTGCTCGCAGATGTAAATTGTTGGGAGTGTTTGCCGAGGTTGACCGGATATTGCGGCCAGAAGGCAAACTGATCGTGAGGGACAACGCGGAGACAATAAGCGAGCTCGAAGGCATGGCGAAGTCCCTGCGGTGGGAGGTGCGCATGACCTACGCCAAGGACAAGGAAGGGCTGCTCTGCGTCCAAAAGACCACGTGGCGGCCCAAGGAGATCGAAGCAAGCATGTAGTGAAATATACATTCGACGCAAAACTGTTCCCGGTTAGTGGGCACGTATTACACTAGACTGAATTTTGGCTCTAGATATAAGCATATGATTCTTGTTGATGCTGAAAAAGGCAAAAGCATTGTGCAGCTGTAGAATCATGTATGTGTTTTTTTTTCCGCGCCAAGCGAGGGCGGCCTTGCATTCTTTCTTTTGCTTGGACAACATTTGTTGTAAAATGAATGTAATGCTGTACTGGAAGCCAATAGGTAGAACCACGGCACGGAGGGTGGTATCTGTTCTTAAGGAAAACCTCACTTCTGGTAATGCTATAGCAGTCGAGTATCCTTGAATTCATGATGTCCCAACAGAAGAAAAAAAAACTTGAATTATTTTCACAAGTCGTTGCCCTGAACTCAGCAGTGTTCATCAGTTCATGTTGCCAACTGCATCTGTCACTGAGTTTAGTGGAGCAGCTGAGAAAAAGCCAGACCTGCATGAACACTGGGAGGAAAGGAAAAATGTTACGATCCTACCAGGAGATTCAGAGAAGCATCACCTCTTATGCTTCTGATACATATTGTAAGCAGTAGAGCCGTAGAGGAAGAGAACGGGACAGGAGGAAGCTGCTGGGAAATGCCGGGAAATGGATGAACTGGGGACAGCTTGCACACACTTACAGTTGTGGCCCACTATCAGCATTTGTTCCATTCAATGCCGACGCATCGCATGGAAGGGGCTGGTGGTCTCCCTGACTTTGCGGGGCCCGCCACCTTGCTCACTCTCATCGGATACAGTGGCCTTCCCCGCACAAGACACGCCTGCACAGTTTCTTCAGTTTCGTCAGTTAACATCTTCAGTCCGCTCTCATCTTCTTCTCGTTCCGCCGCTGCACGCTCAGCCAAGGCATGGGTCTCGTCGCTTCTCCGAGCGGCGCTGCATCCATCCGGAGCGTCACAGAGAGCTACTCTACATACGCCTGCGATATTCAGGACTCGGCGTGGCCGGAAGCCGTCGAAGCAGCAGATCGCTCGGATCGCGATTGCACCCGCGGAACCAAACAACGGCGCCCATTCCCATCCGGCTGGGTTCGCCTTGGCCGGCATCGGCACGCATGCCGACGCTCCGTTCCAAAAATGGCAGCTCCGACGAAGATAAGCGCGAACCATATACAAACAACTTCCGATTTCCCGCCGCATACAGGACACGGAAAGAAACGGGACCACGTCGAGCCGACCCACGAGAAGAGGAGAGATGCTCCACGGTGGCCTCCGCGTGGCGCAACCCAACAAAAGCCGGCGATTCTCTTCTCCAACTTGATACTTACCAAGCCGCAGCGTTTTGTGAGAGGGAAGAAACCAAAGCCCTGATGGCGTCCGTCCAGAATGGAAATTTCGGGAGGTCCTATTTACGTGCAAGCGTCCATCCGTCCTAGTATTTCTTGGAAGAATGTGTACAATGATTCATAAAACAATCTTATCTTTGACATGCAACATAATTCAATGAATTATCTCTTACTATTGTCTCTAATCTAATAACTATCTCTCTGTTTCTAAATATAAGTCTTTTTGAAGATTTCAATATGAACTATATACAGATGTATGGACGTATTTTAGAGTGTAGATTTAACTCATTTTACTTCGTATGTAGTCCATATTAAAATCTCCAAAAAGACATATATTTAGAAACGGCGGGAGTAGAAATCTCTAAATATGTGCTAAGACCATTGTTGCAACGAGGTTATCTCTTACTCCCTCCGTTCCAATTTACTCATCGTGGTTTTAGTTCACATTAAAAGAAGGTAAGCATTTGTTTTATGTTTTCTCTCTCCGCCATCTCAACATTTATCCTATGGTGAAACTCTTAAGATAGAGCTGTCGTACCTGGCCTAAGGCGGAGGCGGAAAAAGAAGAAGAAAGCAAAGGCAGGAAATGCGTTTATATATATTATATATATTCCATGATTTCCATGGTATGTACACTAGGTGAGGTGAGGAGGGGGCATGCATATGGCGAGTCGTGACAAACAAGGCTAGGAGGGGGGGACGCGAGCCAGCGTCCAAAAATGGAAGGTGGTGTGGGGCCGGAAATCCACGTGGGCACCACTCCGCGCCGGGCCACCGCACCTGAGAAGGGGGGCGCGCGCACGTGGGCTGGTCCCGACAAAAATTCGTGTCGCGATCCTCGGGTCGAATCAGCCCGTGGATCGATCGGTAGCAGCAGAATCAGGCCGCCTCCTGGGCCGAGGAGGAGGAGGAGGAGGAGAACCACTGGGTGAAGGCGTCGAGGGTGCGCGTGTCGGCGCGGTAGTGGCGCTGCGTGAAGCGCATGAGGTCGGCCCAGGTGAAGTCCGGGTACTGCCGCGGGCTCCTCAGCCCCGGCGGCGGCCGCACCACGCGGGCCTCGCGCGGGCACAGGAAGAAGGCCAGCGACCGCCGCTCCTGCCGCCGGTTCACCACCGCGCGGTGCAGGCAGCTCTTGTACCGCCCGTTCGACAGAGCCTGCATGCATGCAAACACAAGCAACAACGTGTTAGACCCATTCCATTTTGACGGCTAATCATTTTCGAGGCGCAAGCAAAGATTGACGCGCGAGACAAGGACGCATCTCATGGCGGCCGTCCCTGGCTCCTAAAAAAGCAACATGACATGAAATGCAGTGTAACATGAGCTGTAAATAAAACTGACTATGAAGGCAGGAAGGGCCACGCGACGAGCGGCAGCGCCCACGTGAAACCCGTCCGACGGGGCGGCGACCGGGAGCACGGCGCACGTGCATGACCGTCGTCGTCGCCGAGTCAGGAGGGGCGGAAAATCAACAGCGACAGACGAAGTGGGGATGCGTCGAAACCAACAGGCCCGCCAATGGCGAGGGGCGGAACGATACAGTGCCGTGGGGAAACCTTGTACCGCGCCGTATCTTAGATCAACTGGCCGAGGCCGACGGGCGACGGGCCAAAAACCAGGGCCGGAGATCAACTTGACAACTCCATCACCCGGCGGCAGGATTCACCGGCAGGCAAGCCCACCCCCCTCGCCATGGGCGTAGGAGCAGATTCAGAGGGGAAAACGACGAGCGCGCGCGCGCGCGCGCCTGCACCTGGGTTGGCCCGCCACCGAAAGCGGCGCCACCTCACCGTCACCGCCGCTACTGTACAAAGCCACCCGCCTACCGTAACGCTCCAAACCTGCCGCAAAACGGCAGCATACACCCCTCCTACATCTACATCTACATCTACGTCTACATGGCTTGCTACCCCCCTATCTTTTCTCGCGCTCTAATTGGCTCCGACCCTAGTGCTCGCAGCCTTTTTGGACGGGATGGATAGATCGATAGATGGAACGGAATAAAACCCTACTTTTCGAGACCACTAGAAATGGATACGTTGATCCATGTACGTCTTCATCACTAGTACTGCAGAATTGACGAGTCTAAAAGTGATGGCAATTACCACCGCTCCCTAACAGTGTGTGTTGGACGCAAGTTCCTTGAGGCATCGTCCTAGGAAGCAACGAATGGCCGATGATCAGGACTGCTAATGTCTGTCGCTAGGTCAGTTCGGAGAACGTGACCCGTTTGTAGCTACTAACTACTCCCTGTTAATTCAACCTGTCCAGTCTAATAATATCTACTAGTAATAATAATCGTTGATTGGAGCTGAGAAAGAAATGAAAAAAAAATCACGTCATCTCAGCAGCTTTACGGTGATAGCCCTACCAGCGGCTCGCTTGTTAGGAAGCAGAGTGCAATCACGTCGTGTCAGTAGGCTCCCACGGTCCCTTTCCTCTTTGTTCCAAGACAGCAAGGCAGTTTTTATGGGCCGGTTCGCTCGTTAGGAAGCAGAGCACAGCGGAACAGAGCATGGGTAGTTGACTACTGTATAACCAATTAATCAGCGAAAGCAACGTTAAGGCAAGGAAGGTGACCCAATTAATTACCATGAAGGTGTCGCCGATGTTGATGACCATGGCGCCGGGGACGGGGCGGACGGGGCGCCAGTCGCCGTCGACGAGGACCTCCAGCCCGCCCACGTCGTCCTGCAGCAGGATGGTGAGCGCCGTGGGGTCGCAGTGCGGGCCCGTGCCCAGCGTGCGCTCCGGCTCCGGGCACGGCGGGTAGTAGTTGCACCGCATGATGGAGCTGCTGTCCGCGAAGAACTCCCGGTAGTACCCGCGCTTCTCCACGCCCAGGCTCAGCTCCAGCAGCTCCATGATCGTCAGCGACAGCTCCTTCATCTTCCCGCAGTACTCCTGGTACACCCTCCTGCAACCATCATACGCACGCACGTGTTCCGTTGTCAGTACTCAGCACGTACGGCGGGTTTCAAGTACTGCTACTGCGTACGTACGTACGTGGGCGACGATCGAACGTACGATCGCGCGGAAACAAAAAAAATGCAGTGGCGGGGATTGATTCGCAGCTGTAGCTGGATAGGGGTCTGGGCGAGTGGATATATTACCCCATTGGCTCGTAGTCCGGCCCGAGGGTGCTGGTGAAGTAGTCCACCACGACGGGCGCGGCGCCGGCGCGGTCGTGGAAGCCGAAGGAGAGGGTCTCCTTCCAGGGGAGCTTGGAGGCGAACCGGTCGGCGTGCGCGCTCGTGTACCCGGACACGGTCCCCGGGATGCGGCGCGCGCGCTGCTTCTCGGCCAGCGGCAGCCGGAAGAAGCCACACGCGCCGTCCAGCGCCGCGCGCGCCAGGGTGTCGTCCACGCCGTGCCCGGACACCTGGAAGAACCCGTGCGTGGCGCACGCCGCGGCCACCTGCGCCACGGCGCGGCGGAGCCCCGCGGCGTCGCCATTGCGCAGCACGCTCACGTCCACCACCGGCATGGCCAGCTCCTCGGCCGTGGTGGGGCGCACCTCGGCGTGCGGCCACACGAACGGGGCAGGGATCTTCGGCTCCCTCCGGAGGTCGTACACCGCGGTAGCCGCGCCGCCGTTCTTGTTGACGGCCGCCTTGGCGGCGAACGGGTCAATGCTGGGAGCGGGAGGCTGGAGGAGCAGGGGAGTCGTGGGGCTGGT